CACTCTTCAGGACTTATCATATCATCCAATGAAACTCAACTGTTCTTCCGTATTATTATTCTTTTTCCCTTAGTCATACTTCTGTTTATTATCTCTCTTTTGAATCTCTCTTAACTATCTTATATTGCTTTGTGTGCTCCATGGAGGGAGTGTGGCAACTGGAACTGCTGCATATCTGTGGAAAGTTCTATGTTGAAACCAGTCAGTCAGTCAGATTTCAGCCTGAGAAACCTCGTGACTTACTGAGTTTCAACACTGAAACTCACACAGTAGTCCAGCAGTTCAAGTTACCAAACTCCATAGAAGCATACAAAAAAAAACAAAAGGGAAAGAAAAGCGATTTAAAAGGACTGTATTAGGCAGAAATTTGAGCTAGAAAGAAATACAATCAAGGAAAAGCACGACGGTTTACCGGATAAGAGAAATCACAAAGAGTTAATGCATCTGAGCCATATCAGCTATCGTCTCCAACCACTGATTCTTAGAATCACAAGGACCTCAACCAGCCAGACAGTCTACATGTCTCTACTTGGCTTAAACTAACCGTTAACGATTTCATGGACTGATTCTAAGTTTTGTTTTGACCACTGCTAACCCCAACTAGGCATGTGTCAAAAATGTCCTAACCATATCAATTCATACTGTTTCATAACCTCACCAACTGGCTTTTCCTCCCTACTTAAAACTCGACGTCTCACCTCAAATATTACTCACCCTATTAAACTACCTAACACGGGAGACAGAACGCTGCTGCTGCTGGATTCAACATAGAACTTGGCACCGAAGTGCACCAGTTAGAGTTGCCACGTTCCAAATAGCACACAAGATAGACAAGAAAATGAGTGAAGAGAATCAATAGAATTTAGACAAGTATAAGATTGAAACAGAATGAGTAATGATAGAAAGGAGTATGAAAGATTACAGAGACTGAATACATCTGCGTAAGCCATTGACAACGATTTTGAGCCATGTCACCTATTGTCTCCAGCCATTGATTCTTAGAGTCTCGAGGGCGGGCACCAACCCGGAAGTCTGCATCTCCCTACCTGACTCAGTTTAACTGTCATGGATTCCATGGATTGATACCATGTTTTTGTTTGGCCACCACTTACTCTTTTCCAACCTGCACCTATATCAGCTAGTAATGCCCGTCGGTTGGGGGGAGGCGATGGTTAGGCATGCGCAGCACGTGACCTAGCCATCTCAATCTATGTAACTTTATAGCCTCTTCGATTGATTTGCCCTCTTTGCCCAACGCTCCACGCCTAACGTCAACATTACTTACCTTATTATACCACCTAACGCGAGAAAGAGATCGTAAACATCTGTGGTCAAAAACAGACAATCTCTTCATGTCTTCCGCTCTCAATGGCCACGTCTCACAGCCATAGAGAAGGACGGAGCAAACTGCTGAGCAGTACACATGTCCCTTGGTTGATAGCCGGATGTCACGCCTACGCCAGAGACGGTGTAAGTTAGCGAAAGCAGCCCGAGCTTTTTGGATCCGTGCTGAGATTTCGTCACCAATCGATCCGTTGGTGCTGAAACAACTTTCCAAATAGGTGAAGTGGTCAACATGTTCTATCACTTCACTCCCTATCACTAAGCTAGGAGTTGACGTAGTCCAGTCCAGACAGAACGCAGACAACTATGATGATCACAGACGACCCATCGTTTCATATCTTCCAACTTGGTAGTAGAATCAGCTTTCACATCATAAATCCAGCTCATATACTGGTGGGGATTCTAACAACGATAAAGTAACAGGCTGAAAATAGACAGAACTGGATTGGAACCCCTGAAACAATTGACTAAAAGTTACGGACTAAAGTTTATGAGCTACATACATCTTACTGAATCTTGCCAATTAAAGGAATTCGATAGTGACTCCAATACTTCAATAACCCCAATTTCGTAAACCATTGTTGATTGTCTTGGAATTTTTAGTTAGGTTATTGGAATGGCCATTTAGCTTAACAAAGACTGGACGTTATAGATTCATACTGACGGTCTTCCATCTCCAGTGGATATTGAATAGGATGCCCTGAATAGTAATAATAATTATTATTATCGATCCCTTGGGTTCCGGGTGGAACATAAGGCTGCAACAGGACATCTCCGTTTTGCCCTTTTAAATTGACCACACGTTTGTCCATAGTCTCTAGTCTCCTCCATATCACCCTCAGACGAGCCAATAATCGTTTCCCATTCGGATTCCACTCGCAAAGCAAAGTGCGCGATGTCAGTCTCCTCACCATCTGTTTGATCCATTTTCACTTTCTTCTATAATATTTGTTCGACAGTCGGTTTTCGGCTGATTTGTTTCCAGAGTTTCTTGTTCCTAATTCTTTCCACTAGGTATCTGATCTTTAGTATCGAGTGAAGGCAGCGGTTGAAAAATCTGCCGTAGTCTGCTGAAAGTGCTTTTCGTGACGCGCACTGCAAATTTCTAAGCCATATAGAAGAAGTAACTTAACATTGGTGTTGAAAATCCGAATTTTGTTCTAGTTTCAGACTGAACAAGGTCTGTAATCGGGTAAAACCCCAAGTAAAATTAAATAAGCAAACTGAGTGAAGTAATATAATTGACAGCACTGAGTAGTGCTCAACTCGAAGTTGAAAGAGAGTCAAGTTAAGGACAGTAACGAAGAGAAATGTATTAGTAGGGGGGAGTGGAGGTGAAAAAGCAATATAATAAAAAAATAAAAAATTAGATATCCGTTTTTAAGAGAGATTACGTCTAATATGGTAGGTTCAGTGATGGAACAAACTTCCTCTGTATGCAGAGTACGGGACTTAACATGCGGATTGTCATCACTTGATCTGCACTCCTCTTTAGCAAGATTTCTGTGTAATCTGTAGATGACTCTGAAGTTGGTTTAAGAGTTCGTTCGATGTTCAGAGTTGATCAGATGTTCTAAGATAGAGCTTGTACGGGGGGGGGAAGTCCTTTCTTCTACTCTATAAAACCATGAGGATAAATGTTCGATGATACGTCTAGATAGTAAACGCTGAGTACGTCAGTCCACCGAGGGAGAGGGCTCTCGAGTGGTTGCGCCACAGGATGATCCTGCATGCCGTTCTTGTCTCGCAAGAGGCAGGGATGGGTGTGTTTGGTTCACCTGAAAACCAATACCCAGTCAATGGGTGTATCACTGTGTGAATAGCGATGGTGGCATAGCGGTTAGGACGCTCGCCGACCATGAACATGGTCCGGGGTCCGATCATCGGCCGACTCACTCCTTTACCTCGCTAAGCCAGAAGTAATGCTGGTGACGAGGAAAGATTGGGCATGAGGCTAGCAACCTCATCCTTTAAAATAAACACTGCAACAGAAATTTCAAGCCACTAACTTGAAGTATTGATATAAGTATAAAACTTGGGCACTGTGGTAGAGTGTAACTCCATTATGATAAATGCAAAGAAGAATGATAACTATAAAAACTGTCTTTCGGAGTCGTGCAGTTACAAATGTGATAGGATTATACACAATAAATTGTCTTAAAAAATATCCAATCAAATAATAGTACTTCACTTTGCGACATGCCCATTAAATAAATCAATATAAAGTTATGATATCCAGTTTCTCAAACACTCTGAATAAAAATCTGTCATCACTTAAGTCTAAACATGGTAATTCTGGTGACGCTGCGGTATATTGATTACCCAAGGAAACCCTTAAGAGCCACTGTTATTCTGCATCTCTTACTGTGAACGTATTTCTCATTTAATACCCCATGAATTACACATTAGGTGATGATAATGTAACGACAGAATACAAGGGCCAGGCAACAGATCGTTTATTCAGAAAATCAAGAGATTGATATAAGTATAAAACTTGGGCACTGTGGTAGAGTATAATTCCATTACAGACAAGATTTTATTTTGATAAATCACACAGTGTTGTACAGTAATATTAACTGATGACGTTTCGAGCACAAATTATTGCCACTCATAATCATATCAAGTTACTCACACAACTTTTTCCTTTATTTATATATATGTATGGAATTGACTAGATATTTGAATAAAAATCAATATGAGATAATGTACATTCAGAGATAATAAAACGAGTGTTATTGATCAAATACAAGTAGATGGGATCGATGGCACTGATATTATTATCTCTGGATGTACATTATCTCATATTGATTTTTATTCAAATATCTAGTCAATTCCATACATATATATAAATAAAGGAAAAAGTTGTGTGAGTAACTTGATATGATTATGAGTGGCAATAATTTGTGCTCGAAACGTCATCAGTTAATATTACTGTACAACACTGTGTGATTTATCAAAATAAAATCTTATCCATAATGGAGTTACACTAGCTTGAAGCCCTATGTTCCACTGGGGAACGCAAAGGAAAAAAAATCAGACAATAACCAGCTCCACAGGAGTAAATGAGGGCAGAATTGGTAGCTTATCCTTCACGTTCACATGAGAATCATCAGTCTTCTTTAGAGAAACTGAATAGAAGTTCACCTGAGGGACAGTTTTTCAGTATTTCTGCCCATGCATCTCCATTAGATTCAAATAGGAAAATCTTTTGGGGTAAGGAAATGGTTACGGTTTCACTGCTGCAGGCTTCCTGGATTTTTTGGCGAAGCTTTCCGCGTAACCATTTTCAATGAGAACTCCTTTTAGACTGTTCACCTCCTCCTCTTCCACGGAGTCATATTTTTTAGGCTTTCCAACCAAATAACCATCATGGACTAGTGTCAATCGTTTAACCAACATTGGAGTTAGTCCACCGCAATATACACAGTTTGAGAAGGTACAAATATTACACATATCATGTACTCTATAATCCATTTACAAACGTGTAAACTGAGTTAAAAAAAAAGTACACTGTGTAGACAGCACCATTTTAACCGTAATTATAATAATTAAAGTACAGCGCGAACTGTAAAAATATCATCAATATGCACATAATTAATTCTACAAGCCTTTCTTCTCTGAGTGAGTCATTCAACCAATAGTAGCAAAGCAATCATTCATTCGTCAAGTAAACAACCAATCAGAATACAACGTTTAGAGTACAGAATGAAAAAGTCGAATTCTGATTGGACAGTGGACAAATAACCAATCTAAAAATAGTAATGATGGTGAAATAATCATATGGTTTAACGATTTCGCTCAAATAACTGATGAAATAATGATAATAATTAATTACAATAACAATAATAATAATAATAATAAAACTCACTTCTTCTGCAGATCTTCGATAAACTCTGCCATCAGCATATTTATAGTTAGTTACATTGCCATCAGCATCAAAGCCCAGCAGCTCACGACTTAAACTGCTAGTACGACCTGATTGAACTTCATGTAAATGACGAAATAGATTTAATCGAGCTTTGCCACGTGCATTATCCAATTCCCCGTCTGTTAATACACCGATCAATGTTGACTTGCCTGAATCCATACCACCGACTAAAGCTACGCATAGGTCAGGTGACTAGACGATACAAAACGAGAAAAGTGTTTAGTGAAAAAAGATAAAAATATGATGAAATCATATTTTATTCTTCACATACACACACACATTCACAGAACCAACTTAAATTATGATCACGAATTGACTTCATTTAGAGGACCATTGGGCTACTACTTCGGCAAAGTTCAACAATAGCGTCCCAGGTGTGCTAACGCACGAGTGACCTTCAGGTCGGTCGGTCGGTTTTCGACATAGAACTTTGCACATATGTGCAGCAGTTCAAGTCACCACACTCCCTCCATGTAGCACACAAAGCAAGAGAAGAAAGTAGAAGAAATGCATAATATAGACAGTAAACAGAGGTGTGAGACAAAGGAATAGTAATAACGGAGAACAAAACAGCTTAATTGGAAATCATAAGTCACAAGGAGTGGATGCATCTGCGCCACTGAGAACGATTTTGAGCCATGTCACCAATTGTTTCCAACCATTGGTTTTTACCGTCCCGAGGACCCCAACCAGATATAATGTCTACACCTTCCTACGTGGCTTAGACTAACTGTTGTGGATTTCATTGACTGGTGCCATGTTTTCGTTTGACAGCCGCTAGCTCTTTTCCAGCCTGGTCGTATATCAGCTAACATTGCCCGTCGAGGAAGGCGATGACTAGGCATACGTAGCACATGTCCGACCGAAAGCTGCTACCTTGACGTGGTGGTCGGGCTTGAACACTGCAATGACCCAACAAGCTATACTGGCTGGAACTTATGTTCCTGCAGGTCTTACCATGCCAGAAAGGTTGTTTGGATAGCAGTTAGACTAAAAGCAGTTACCCAATCCAATCCTATGATTTCAAATAATTCACAAAATATCATGCCGGATCGGTCGGGGCCCGGATTAACAACGACCGCGCTTTCTGCTGCCGTGTCACAGGGTAGAAGTGATAAATACGCTACTGAGACACACCAAATTAAAAACAACAAACAAAAACAGGCCGTGTGTGACCGGCCTCAAGCAGTTGTCCCCTGGGCTCTGCGGTCACGCAACCAACTTCCACGGTGTGGGCAGCCGGGAAGTAACAATCGCCCTCACAATCCGAAGTGCACGCGAAACCTCTCCAATCCTCGCTCATCTTTGTCTTCATCTTCATCTCTATTATCTTGCCTTCCTTCTACCAATGCAACTCCTCTACTTGAGTGACCTTCAGCTGACCAATCATAAAAATGAGATATTTTGCTCAAAAAATGATGTATATTGACAAGAAAATGCTTGAAAACGCATTAAACAGGTTATCTTTCTCTGACATGGCTTAAAAATACGTCGTAGTTGTAACGAAGAGTACCACTTGCTAAGTTAGACTAGTTTCTGTACTTGTATTCACCGAGATGACTACAGATAAAGTTTTTATGAATCGTTTATCTCTCTCATCCTGCTTGCAGTCTTCCAAAAAAGCCCTCGGTTGAATTATTATGGTTTCCAGCAAGAGGATAGACGAATACTTACCAGGAAAACGTGGATAAAACAAACTATAAATCTATCCCTAGTCGTAACCATAAGCTTAATCCTAGCCCTTATTCAAACCGTCACTCTAACCCTAACCCAATTACATACCTTAATCCTAATCCTAACCCTAACGAGCTATTAACACATTGTCCAAGCAGTACTTAAAAACGTGATCTGGGTGAAATTTGCTCCTAAGCTGGTAAATAGTGCTGATATTTCCGCTATGATAATGACAGATGCCGTTAGCCAACGACTAGCATGCGTTCAAGGTCTTTGGAGCGTTCACACTCCTGAGACGCTATTGTTGAACTTCGCCACTATTTCAACCTTCTTTGTGGCTTTTCAGTGGTAGGCGTCTATGGACTGATCAGGGTTCGATTTCAGAACCTTCCGGTTACAAGGTGAGCTCATATACCATGCAGCCCCTAGGACGGAATCCAATGGTCAGTCCTTTCCAACTTCAGCCATTTTAAGACGTATTGCGCCACAGGCAGCCAATGTCAATGGCGGGTATCTGTCCTCACATCCACCCTGTCAGACCTCACCGATTCCTGTTGAAATCATTGGCACGTACTGATGAAGAGTCGCAAACAGAGACGAAACAACTGTGTTGTACTCTCTGGTTACCAATAGTTCTATCTAACTCAGGTCAATTCGTGATCATAATCGAGATCGGTTAAATCCCAACAGATCACCATTTGAAAAGCTATTTAATTGACTAATATTCATATATTAGCGTGATATTACTTTGTTAATTCTTATATTCTTCCTTACTCCTTCACTCAATCTTTCCTAGGGCTATTTAAGAAAGACTTTGTTACATCGAGAAGGGAATTAAAAGCTTTCCATAAGGCAAATGAAGTGTCACTAAGCTAACTCGTTACAACTGTTGTAGATAGACTCTTGATGTAATTGATCAAAAAATTGGCGAATATCTCATCTTGTCAGACTCTAAGTATCCTCCTTCTACACAACTCTCTTCTTGTTACTCAACAGGTAGGACTTGAAATAACTATAGAAGACTTTATACTCAGACAAGTAAATATAAAAACTCTACGATGTCTTATTTGGCACATATTGTATGTGGTGAGAAAAGTCTTAGACGAAAAACTACCTACTTATTGAGAAACACTCAGTAAACGGCGTTTTCTATTCTTTATATCCTCAGGATTATTATATTGGTTACAGGATTTCAGCATGAGCTGACATTGGTTAGAGAACCATTGAAAAACCTGCAGGGAGTACTGGACAGCTGTTTTGTCCTAGTTTGGGACTCTTCATCAGTACGCACCCACCGGGGTTCGGACCCAGGACCCTCTGGTTACAAGTCTAGAGAGCTCGTAGACCATTGAGCAACTGGGACCCGACCCAATGACTCATGAATTCTAACTTCTGCCAATTCACGATATAGCGCAACCGCTAGCCAATGTCTTCGGCGAGTATTTGTCCTCACACCCGACCTGCTGCACCCAACTGGTCACGACTTCCCACTTGAACCCTAGGTAACTGCCTACCTGAATAGGGTCAGTCGCTAGTGAGCGTCTCATTGATATTCAAGTATCAGTTTGTAGGGATTTGATTGATTCATGGGCTATGATATCGGGTCCCAGTGGCTTAGTGGTACACGAGCTCGCGTTGTAACCAGAAGGCCCTGAATTCGAACTCCGGTGGGTGCGTACTGATGAAGAGTCGCAGGCTAGGATAACAGAAGCAACTGTCTGGCAGTACTCTCAGGTTTTCCAACGGTTCTCTAACTGATGTCAGTTCATGATGAAATTCTGTAAGCAATCAGTCAAATCCTTACAAACCAATACTGGTTCTCTTAATTATTTTTCCGCCTACTGTGGAATGTAAAAAAAATCAGATTCAACATTGTACCACATGCCGAGAATTCCCCAAACTGCATCAAATATACTCTAGTGTCAACAATAAAGCTATTATGATGATTAATATTGCCAGAAAATTTACGGAATATCGTAGATTTCTGGCTTAAAAATATGGAACTGTGACTTATTGGTTTAGGTGGTCAGAGTATGCATCAACTAATTCAAGGGTTAGAAATCAGCTGCACCAACCCAGATTTAGGAAGCCAAGTGAAATCATGGTAATTAAGAGCTGCACACCACGTGAATAAACAATAATAAAAATAAGACTAATAATATGAAATCAACTGGTGGATGGATGGGTGGTGACTAGCAGTGGAATCCAGAACACGCATTTCGTCCTATGCGGGATTCGTCATCTGGAAGTACCTGCATTTCTTAGTGAGTGTTGGTGTCCCCACCGAAGCTAGAACCCACTGCGCATAGTTTTGACACCAAAGCGTTATCCACTAGAGTACATGTGCCCCGAGAGCCATCCCTTTTGCAACTGGTCTAGTGGATAACGCTATGGAGTTTGAAACTACGGGCATTGGGTTCGAGTCTCGGTGGGAACACCATCACCCATTCACTGGGGAGCGCAGGTACGTCAAGTTGATGAGCCCCAAACAGGCGGAAACATGCATCTTGGATGCCATTGCTAGCCACCATCCACCAATCAACATTCTAATTACATGTCCAGACATCGTCGGAGCATCTGCACAAGGAGCCGACAGACATGTCAACGTGAGACCGAGTACTTCGGTCGAATCAATCGACGGGAAAATCTAAGATTGAATTAAATGATATTAATAATAGTTCAGACAAGAGGTTCTTTTCGGAAAATTCATTCTCTATAGCTGCAAAAATGATAGAGGTGGTTGAATAATTCTCTTTTGTATTCAAAACTCTGGTTTCGCTATTTGAATGGCTAGAACTTTAGTAATGCAATCCAGATGGTGTATTGACTTTGGCAGATCGCTCTGCACTTTGTAGATTACTTTGAAGGAGACGTTTGTTAAGATGGAGGAATAACCAGTGTTGATGGGGTGTTCGATTACCACACTCCCTAAACAAACACTACCACCTTTCTGCAACCATGTGGTGGGATAAGGTTCTTGAACCTTTTTGGACAGGATAGGTGTCGAACGACTAATATATCTAGCTGCACAGCAACAGACGAACTGATAAATGCACAGAGAAATGGTCAGATACGAAATCTCGTCGTTTGGGCTTTTGTAGATTAGTGAACGACTGGTGAATACTGCCCTTAGCGTTGGTGCGATGGTTTTTCTTAAGGAAGCCGAAATTCTCCTCTTAAGAAGACCACTGAGTAGGTCATCTATAAAGTCGGCGTTCATGCAAAGTTTCTGTTTTTAATATCGATAACGAGTCTCTCGTCTTTGGATTTTTGGCTTGATGTTCTTGTCCATAAATCTTGGTGGATATTCGTTATTGCTCCCTTGGGTTCCGCGTGGAATACAACTTCAACAACACATCTCCACTTTGTTCTGTTTTCTGCCACCGTCTTCAGCTGAGTCCACGATTGCCAATAATCTCTCATCTCTTCATCAAATAATCTCCTCCATGTCACCCTCGCAACGACGACCCACTCACCGCTTGTCATTGGGATTCCATTCGAGTGATGGCCTGCATTGT